TTCTTTTATGGTGGAGATCCAGAGTCTCTCACATTGCCCCTCCTGAGGCTTTCAGTGCGAAAGTACTTCTTCAACAGCACCATGGTGAGCTTAAAAAAAAAAAACCCCAAACAAAACCCAAACTCAAACTTCCTTCCACTCTACCAGGTGCTTTATGAGCAGCAGATAGGCTGCACTGCACTAAAAAAACTGCCATTTCTGAAGAGAGGGCTGGCAGCTATCAGGACATGAGGAAACATTGCCCGTGACAGACTCTTTGGACTCCTACCTGCACCACAAAGGATCCACTTGGAAAAAAACCAAACCAGCAAGAGACAAATTTGTGGTATGCTATAGCAACGTGGCTGGAATGTGAAGTGGGTTTCCCTCCCTTCCCCTTTCAGGGGCGTTTCAGACAGCCTGATTAACGAAGCGCTCTCTTACCCTACATGGAGATAGCTGTAGGCCTGCTTTTCGTTTGTCACCTCCTTCGTAACCTCCTCGGAAAGAGCAGGACAGATTTCCTGGCTCGAGGACAGGTTCTGTTTCTCCTGCAGACTGTCAGCCCAGCACCAAGAGATTCTCAAGGCTGTTGAAATGTCCTAAGGTTGCCCAGCCCCGCTTTCTGTTTATTTTCTAGGAACAAGACAGCCTAGAGGAGCCTTTTGACAGAAAATTCAGCGTAACTTTCGTTATAAAATGCTGCAGCACTCGCAGTGAAATTCTTTACACCTCAAAAGCACTCTTCTGGACTTGAACACGAGGTGTGTGAGCAGGGGCTCCCCTCCCTGCTTCTGCCCACACCCTCAACCTCTCTTCACCAGGACCAGCAACTTATCTCCAGCAAGGGGCATGGCTGAAGTTCCTCAGCACCCATTAGCTTCCACTGATAAATCGAAACACCTCAAAACCATGCATTGCAAAATTTGCGGCCTGAGAAACCCTACCAAGCATTTCTCAAAGCAAGGTGACATTGGCAGCACAGACAAGAAGTGGGGCTTAGGGAGTTGTCTTAGGCCTAGAACCTCTCAGTGTCCTTGCTCTGCCAGGACATCTTGGCTTCATTCAGACCAGGAATAGGGTTATACCCCATTCCACGCCCAACCCAAGCAACGAAAAACCCTCCAAAGGGCTACACCAGGCACACACCTGCTCTTCAGACTTCACATTGAGCTCATCCCTAGAAACGAGCTCCAGGACGTCTTCGAATGGCAGCGCCAGGAACTCTTCAGACATGGATACCTCCACAAAGTGCTGATGAATGAAGCTGTTGGCAGCGTCGTAGAGCACCGCACACATCATCGTCTCTGCAAACTGCCGCACTCCCAGACAGTTCTTGGGGTGAAGCCTGGGAAAGGGGGGAAGAGAAGAGCAAAAGTAATGTCAGTTTAACAGGACAGAAAGAATTACAAACAGGTTCAGTGAGGCAACGTGAGCCTCAGAGGCGGCACAGCGGAAGCCACAGCTGTGTCCTCTTCACCAGCAGCAGGTTCCAGCTCACTGATGAACTTATCTACGCAGAGATTGGAAGGTGAATCCACAGCAGAGCCAGAGGATGGAAACCACAACTTAAAATAAATCTCTCCCACGTCCTGCTGAGGAGCCGCTGGAGAGACTTGGCTGGCTCTGTGTGAAGGCTGCAGGTCAGTAGAGGGGAAGCATGAGGCTCTGCACAGCAAACTCTCCCTCCCACATCTTGGGGTACCTGGACTGTGCATCTCGTGATTTCTCTTTTATTCTTTTTTTGATTTCTTTTTTTAACTTTGTGTTGGAAAAAGCTGGATTCAAGCATGTTGGGAAAATACCAACCATCAGTCTCAAGTTTTTCATCTTACACCTTCTCTAAGCACTACTGAACAGCATCTGTTAGAGCTTCATAAAGCCACTTCCTGAGATGATTAAGGAGGCTTTATCACCAAAGATGCTTTTGCAATTGGAGGTTAGACTGCAGGTCCGAGCTGCTCTCCAGCGCAGCCAAACAGCCACCGCATAAAGCTTCTGGGTGGCACAAAGAAGCTGGAGATAATCTTCATTACAGTCACGTGCTCTGCAGAAACAGGTCTGTGTCCTGGACACTCCTGTCCAAACAAGGAGCCCTGCCCAGCGCAGGCATCTCGCCGTTCAACAAGAGCCGATAGTCGTGTTGTTTTGTGGTGCTGTGAGATACTAAATACTGCCTGTATGGAGAAAGTCATAGAATCCCAGAATGGTTTGGGTTGGCAAAGCCCCTTAAGCTCCCCCAGCCCAACCCTTCCCCTACCCCTGCCATCCCACCCCCAAACCCTGGCCCTCAGCACCGCCTCTGCC